TTATCTGGCATATAAAACGCAAACATAAAATGGTAAACCAATAACTGAGAAAGAATCAAACAAAGAACATCAACTCATGATATAAAACCAAACTTCAAAACATAATAAACTAGGAAAATGAAAGCCTGAACTTAGAAGAGACTGTGATTTACACCATGGTCAACGGATTAAGAATCAAAACAAATCACGAGTTAATTATAAAATCCGAAAAATAATTAAAATTCACCAACTAGAAATTTTCACAACCACCACAGAAGTAGATCTAACCTATGAACCCTAAGTTAGCCGACACAGAAGTAAAACTAAGAATCTTACACACCATAGAGTGGCCTAGTTTTGAAGCCAAGGATAGTTTACTAGGCACCCAATAATAGTATTAAAGACTAGGATCTACAAAACAAACGACTGCATCCCCTCAAATTGTGTGGGTACTTTAGGATGAAGTAACTCATGGTTACTCTTGATTCCCAAAAAAATTTAAAAAAAAATTGACAATTATCCTGCCCACTTTACATAATATCTGTTAATTTGTGCCTCAAAGTTTTTTTAAAATTGTTTTATACATATGTATGGTTACAAATAAATAGAATAAAATAGTATTTGGTATTTATTTATTTTATATGATAAGAAGTATCCATTGGATCTCCTATAAAAAATTTTATTAAATTCATTTCACATAAAAAATATAATTATTTTAATATCTAAAAAATGAAATAAACCTTTTCTTACATAGGTATAATGGTATATTGGTAAAAATTAAAGTTTAGTAGTTAGATTTGTAAAGACATATGAGTTATATACGTAAATAATCCATACAAATAAAAGAAATTCTTTTTTTTATTTTAATATTTAATAAAAATAATAATTATTATAACTTGTAAATATTTCTCAATTAGTTTGTTTTGTATCACCACCATAATGATAATAATAGTTATAATAATAAAAAGGTTTTCTTTATCTCAATGGTTTAATTATGGCACGCATAAATGCATTTAATTTGATGATTCAAAATAATTATTTAATTGCTTGATTTGTAAATATCAATATTTTAGATGTTCTGTATGTAATGATCCCTTTCGATAATTCCTGTGATGACCCACCTATAATTTTATGATGACACATTATGGGAGAGTGAGGAGAAATTTTTTTCATATGGAGTGTGGACACAGCTCTACGTGCGGGCTCCAGTAATATGCCGCCACGTGTGCTATACTTTGTCCATCTCCTAAACACCGTGGTCAACTACTTCAATAATCTCTGCAGTTTCACTTCAATAACTCCCGCAGAACAACTCCAATAAGTTCAGCACGATGAACCTCTCTAATGACCTCAACGGTTTCACTTCAGTATCTCTCACACGGCGTTTATGAGGTGTACCCGATGTAGCACACATGACGGCATATTACCAGAGTCCGAACATAAAGCTGCATCCACGCTCCGCATGGAAAGATTTTTTGTGAGAGAGACACTTCATCTTTAAGATCTACATTACATCGAAATTTTCCTATGTTTAAAAAAATTTTGTCCTTTGGTCAATTGAATAGCTCAGAAAACCTTTAAACTTATAGATCTGTATTTCTAATTAATAAATACAAGTTGTATCGTAGTATCGTACCTATCATATTAATATTGGGCATTATTTGAGTTGGAACATGAGATCTTGATTGATGCTTCAAGATGTGTGCTTTATTTTTGATATTTGATCGAAGAGCTCTTACATATCTTGAAGGGATATGACGGCCGACATTTAAAAGCACCAACACTCCATCCTACCCATATGGCACCAAGATTATACATGAATGAATATTGATTTCATTACAATATGCAGAAATCCAAATATGCTCCCACTTAAAAAGTGAGCTCCATCTTCATAAATTAAAAATCTTCGACCAAATATGCAAATAATATCATTAATGAGTTTCAATTAAGAACTTATAAGAGAATGCATCATTAAGCGTTTATTCATATAATTCATTCATGCAATCCAAGCTCAAAAGCCATTATGCAGCACTCTCACCCATGCCAATTATGTAGCGCAGGACATGCATCATGTCAAGTATTCTTGTCAGCCTTGGAAGATAGAAAATATGGAGCGTTTTTTCTGTCCGGACTCCTGACATAGCTCTAAGTGCGACATAGGTTATTCTTAAGTTATTTTCAGGTTATTTCTGGGTTATTTTCAATAATAACAAAATAATCCAGACATAACCCGCGGTCTTTATTTTTGGGGTATTTCTGAGTTATTTCGGTATTATTAAAAATAACCTGAAAATAACTTAGAAATAACTTGGTCCGCACGTCAGGAGTCCGCACAGAAAATTTTTTTGAAAATACGAGGGATTTACATATATACCACATATATAATTCTTACATATTTTACATATCTAACATCTAAATTTTAATGTTTATTTATATAACATTCAAATATTTAACATCACATCAAATATATAATTAATAGTAACTTTTGTAAAGTGAAATAGATCTTTCATACAGATGTTTTGATCTGATTATGACAAATCCTCTCTTATGTGTATTGCATATAACTCCACCTAAAAAAAATGATTTTATTTTCACTTACTTTAAGCAATTGCTTGAACTAAATGAAAATATGACACTACGATCGAGATAAATAATTCATGTCCGCGTAGTGGTAGTGGGATTAAGGTTTTGTTGTTGTTGTTGTTAAGCAGTTATGGGATTAAGGTTTTGTTGTTGTTGTTGTTGTTGTTAAGCAGTTACTCCTAATTTATTTTCTTTTTTCCATTATGTTTGATTATGTAATTTATTTTTCTTTAATGTTTTTTTTTTTGGGGAAGATTTACATGCATACCACGCCATTCTCGTGTATTTTACATGTACGCGTTCTTATCTATACATGAAAAAAATGTATTCACTTTTTAAAAGTAAAATAACAGTATTTTTGATGTGATATGAAATATTTAGGTGGTATAAATGTAAATACGTGTTAGAATTGTAAGTATATAAGAATTGGGTGGCATGAATGTAAATGCCTCCTCTATTTCCTGTTTATAAAAAGAAACCAACTTGTTTTTGAAAAAAAAAAACTATGAACAACTTAAAATTATTTAATTGTTTTAAAAAATAACTACAAACATGTTTTAATGCAACTCAAAAAAGAAAAAAAATAAAATAAAATTTCATTTTTAATAGAAGAAAAAGTAAAAGTGATTCCAAACAGCAAGTAGATATGTGATTTAAACTTCTGATAAATTCGTTGAAGAGCAACAGACCTTATTGACGTCAAATGAGACACCCAGCTTCTGAAAGCAGGAAATAACAGCTTTAGCTGTACCAGATGCGTCTCGTTTGCCTGCTTGATGAGCTTCCATCAACACCTGTTAATGTGTCAAATCCAGCAGTTCTTTTATTTCAGTTATATATGCAACTGGTTCTGAAAATTAGCAATATTTGTGGGCATGAGAAATTATTTAAGACATGATGAAAGAGCAGCTCCAGCATGCATGAAAGGTTGCATATTTTGATGAAAATAATTTCATCATATAATAAACGGGAGGGGTCAAATTTTGGTCAAGCGGATTCGGTTCGGATCAACTACGGACTAAACACAAACTGACCGGTTAAGCCGTATTGACAAACCTAGTTACACCCTAAGATACATGGGCATATAATTACATACTCGGAGGTGCTGGTTGTAAAATTTTTCCCTTAATAATTTCTATGTAGTTATTTTTATCAAAACCATAATGATATCCAACAGACCAATAATAAAGATCATATGCTCAAAAGAGGAGTTTAGAGTAGTTTCAAGAGTATGAGATCATTTTAAAAGGAGCTGTGGTAAAGTTGAGGGAGCATGTTTCGACAAAATGGTAAAATCAATTTGATAGTTAGTATTTAGCATACTGAATCTTGTCACGAACCGGCTCGGGGACTAAGAAATTTCAAGACGAGAACAGACAGTCATACTATAAAATTTAAATTGTGTACGCTCTTTTTCTGTCACTAGCAGTATATAATGCAAATAAATTTGATAGAATCACTAAAAAAAATAATTTAATTTAACAAATTATAAGCTTACTTTTCTGTTTGCTGACCACCACTTCTATACATATTCTCTTCTCTATTACTCATCTTCTATTTAAAGGCTTAAATTTTAAAAAATATAATGAGTGTATTTAAAAGCTCTATTGAATAATTACACTTCTAAACTATAGCAATTCAAGAAAAAAAAAAAGTCAATGCATATGCTTGTATTTCCTATTGCATTATAGAAAATCATATAATAATCAAAATCATGTATACATGACATTTGCTCATGAAAAAATAATATAAGATTTTTTATATGCATTAACATTTACTTTAGTTTTCAATAAGTAATTTTTTAATTTTTAAGATACATCTCTTTCTTAACTTATATATCCGTATCAGAAGCACTGTCGAAATATAAACTATCACACCCCTGACTGATACATATCCCTTCGACACAACAGAGCACAAAACAAGTCTACTGTACCTAAGGCGGAAATGTATCTACTCATGACTTACATACTCTCATTGGCATAGCGATTCATGATCCAAATTATACGATTGTTTGAGGTGGTAGAAAAAAAAAACATTTACGTGCGCAGATACATGAAAATCCCCAGCCAATACCATAATGATGTGAACTCCTCTTAGCATACAAGCAATCATGTATATAATAATATCATTTCATTCTTCAAAGCAGGCATTATTTTCTTATAAGTTAATTTGCATTTATCTGCCAATGAATAAATTAGCTCTATTAGAGTGTAAAGGTTATATAATAATTTAACATTCTCTTAGAAAAATTATATAGTTTCAAGGTTAGATAATAATTTAATACCTTCTCAGAAAAATTATAGTGCAACTATTTAACAAATGTTAACATATGTATCTTATATCTAACAATAAGAAGAAATCGTTGTAGTTCAACTCTCATTGGTATAGAACATATTTGTAATAAGGAGTAAAATTAAAAACAAAAAATATTAATATGATTTTAGAAATATAATTACTCACATAACCTTTTTGGTCCATTCTTGTACCACTAAATCATTGATGTATTCCTCTATCCAACATCTATAAAGGCAAAACATAACATTTGATCAACTTCATTATTTCTCTTGAAATGCAATTACTCTACTCAAAATCCTAAAGTCTTTCTAATTACTTTAGGTATTTACATATTTCTAAACCAAAAGACCATAGATAGAATTTACCTCACTTAATTCCCTAGTATTGTATAATCCTCAATTGTAAATTCTTAGTCTTTATTTGAAGAAATCTAACACTAGTCTTAATGAACTTTAAAATTAAATTATTTAGCTCTAACATAAAATTAAAATTCTAGCTTTCACATTCCTCCTCCATTCTCCTGCTTGAAATGAGCAATTTTTCAATTTTTGTATCATACAATCAAATAAATCTCAAATCTTGATTCCTGCAAATAGTAACCATGATCTAATAATAATTTGATAATAGACATTAGAGTTAAATTAATAAATTTAAATTAGATTTAATCTACCTTAAATTTTTTTGCTCCACTGTCGTCTGTCTCCTCGTTCCTAAGCAAATTTAAATCCTTATCTGCTTTATGATTTTAATTAAGAAAATCCCATTTTAATGATTAATATAATCAAATTAAAAAAAATAATCATCTTTTATAATTAATAACCTAGCCCTACTAACCTTAAGTTCCATAACTTTAAGGAACTTTCATTTTCTCAAATTTGATATTAGATAATTTTATTTTTTCTATTTGTTCTTCTATATTTCTAATATTTAATTTTAGATTTTTTATTTCTAGATTAACCTTTTTATGTTATCATCTACTGTTAAATAGTTTTTCTCACTCTTCTGTCATTCAGATATTATAAAGTATTATTGAGTTCATCATGCTTCCTCTGAGAACTTATCCTCATATTATCTCTTAGGGTTTGACCTCAACATCTCCGGATCATATTATATTTTTCTTCGTGTCTAGAGAAAATAAGAGCTCAACAAATGATCAATCTCAACTCATTAACAGACCATAACACTATATAATTACTTCTGAGATGCTAAAGACAACTTTCATTCGTTTCCTACACTAAACGTAGCTTAAGAAATAGAAACAAAATCACATAATATTATTATAAGCAAACGATAAGAATAAAACATAACAACCTTACATACTTTATAGCATACTTACAGACATTCGAGTAAGAAAACTTTATTTAGCCTCTATGGCTAGCATACATACTTTGTTTACAAGGGAGGAAAAACGAAAAAAAAGGAAGAAGAGAAAATATTAATGTTCGCTCTGCCTCCAACTTCAGAGAATAGAGCATTATATAGCCCATGAAAGGCTCTATAGTCGTCATGGCTGACGATATCTTCAATAATTCGCTTCTGCATGCATGGCCGATAATTCAGCTGGTGGAGAATAAAGTTGTCGATAATTGAGTCGATAGAGAGTTATTGTGGTACGGTTAGATTCCTTCTTGATAATTGTTTTGCTTTATAGGCTAGGTGAAGAAAGAGTGCTTATACAGAAGATTTTGTTCTGATAATTATTTCACTTTACCGTTGCTTTCTTTACATCTCACTATTTCTGGCTTCAAGCTTGTCTCGTACTTCTTGTAGAGTATCCGGCTTCTGACAATACATACATTTATGTATTTTTTTTCTAATTTATGGCAAAATAATTCTTTCACTTCTTTGTTGGCTGCCACAACACTTTTGTTGAGAATGGGGACTCATTTTTTATACATAACTTCATATATATTGTGCATCGGCTGCTTGCAATAACTATATATAAACAGTGCTCCGAACAATGAACCCAAATATTGGTTGAATCTAATTTCTTAGATTCATTCCATATTTGGTATAAATCATCTATTTAAATCTTTGAGATAATATTTTAGTTGGTTTGTATTTGGGAGTATATGGTTCGCTGCTTATTCCGAGCTGTATAAATGAGCTAATTCCTTCACGTATTTCGGGATAAATTTGATAAATTTCATATAAATGTCAAGATAACTTTGATAAATTTCATATATATGTCCATGTGTTTGACGACAATGTGAAATGTTTCCACAACATCAATAACTGGTTTAGGTAATTCATTTAGAAGATTTTTATCTTCTAAATAAATTATGCGTACTAAACTGCATTTATATAATTCAGAGATAAGTTTATAATCTGTATTTTCATATACATAGATGACTTCGAATTTTTCAGCTGTGTGAAAATAAATATGAGAATTAATTATTTTCTCATATAGAGATAATTATTGTCATTCATCGGTTATTTCTATAATACTCATTGCAGGGTTAATTGATGTATTTTGTAATACCTTGCATATGAAGGTATTATATTTAAAGAATCGAGTACTTCTTCTGTAATTTTAAAATCAGTAAAATCTCGTAATTCAGTAATTGAAGAAGTGGATACTTCATTTGTAATTTTGAGATTCGCAAAATCTCGTATTTTTTTGTAATTCAATAATTGAGGATAATTCTTCTTCATGGATTTCTTCATTCAAATAATTTTTTATTTTCAGTAATTCTCTTAGAATATTATTGTCTTAGGCAATTTCACATTCTAATTTTCATATTTGTAATTCAAGTAATTCTAATTAATTACTCAAGTCCGGAAGGGATTTTTCATCAACATTGTTGGCTATATCATATATCTCCATATTTTCAGTGCTTGTATTCATTTCTTGCATAATTCATGAGTTGAAGTGTCAGCACGAACACTTTTATTTCTCACAATATATTCTATATCAAAGTTATATGCAAAAAATCAATTTTGTCATCTTATTAATCTTTTATTAGTTAAATAATCCACAATTTTTCTTTTAATAAATGAAATAGTTGTTTTATTATCTAATCTAATTAAAAATATTTTATTTAAAAATATTTAAATATTTTAATTATTTTTTTAATTACTAATAACTTTTTTTCATTAATATGATAATTTTGTTATGTCGTATTTTTAATTATTTTTTTAACTACTAATATTTTTTTTTTTCATTAATATGATAATTATGTTATGTCGCATACGTACCTGAGTTGTACCTGCACAAGAGTTCAATAGTATTACGTCAAGCTTTTAAAATTGCTCCACAGGCTAGTTTCGAGCTGTCAGTTTCTATAATTAAATAATCACCAGGTATAGGTAAATATAATTTTGGTAGGTTTTTACATAGATCTTTAATATATCGTAAATTTTTTTGATCATTTTGATCCCAAGACCAGGTTTTATTTTTGTGTAACTTTTTTGTAGTAGTGCTCACAAATCTGCAAGATTTCTGATAAATGTTTCAGTGTAATTAATACATCCTAAAACCTTCGTAAACCTTTTTTATTAGTAATATGTTTAAAATAATCATTTTTTTTGTTAAAATATGATCTTATAATTTGATTGCATTTATCTATAATAAGTCCTAAAAATTCAATAGTATTGGTCACAAAAAATAGCTTTCTTTACTCAGAACAATTCCATTTTTTGTTAAAATAAAGCTAAATGTTTTAAATGTTGCGCAATAGTTTAACTAAATATTAAAACATCATCCACATAGATAAGACAAAAGTGAGATAATTCAGCAAAGATAGTATCCATATATCTTTGAAATATTTGTGGAGCGTTTTTTAATCCAAAAAACATAACGTTCATTGATAGTGATCCCGAGGAGTACTAAAGACTATGAATTCTCTATTATTTGGGTGCATCATAATTTGTCAGAAGCCAGAATTACAATCTAGTTTAGAGAACCATTTAGCACTCTTAATATGATTTATTAATACATTTTTATTTGGCAGGAAATAACCGTCAAATTTCGTGTTATCAATAAGTTTTTTATAATTCCTCTAATCTACTCGGCATGGTTTGTTATTAGAAAAGCAGGACTACAATCTGGACTAGTCCTTACTTCAATTAATTTGAGATTTAATAGTTCTTGAATTTGAATCTTAAATTTTTTTTTTACCTTCAGAGGTGTATTTCATAGAGCGCACTCTAATAATAAGAGAAAGATTAATTGATTCAATAGTTGCAAAGGGCTTGTCTTGAAACCAGAATTGTAAAGGATTTTTTGAAAATGTGGGGTTAAATAGAGGATGCAAAAGCATGAATTTTTGTAAGTTTAGAAAATTTAGGGGAAAACGTCGTATATGCAAGTGAGTGAAGAGTGAATATATGAGAAAAAATAGTTTTGATTAGTTGATCCAAAGTACAATCATCACGCTGGCTGCAAAAAATAGGTGCAGTGCAATGAAATTTAGGCGGGCGGATTAAAGGACAAATGAGTGAGAGATGAGGGGGTAACCGAGGTGATTTCATTCGGAGACTGAGTAAATGACAGATAAGTTTTGAAGAAATTATTTTCGAGAATTAAATCATGGCCATCGTCGGATAGATACCATAATTTAGGTATTTTAATAAGAGCGTATTGAATAATAACCAATTGATCGTTCTAATATTCATTTATAGTGCGGAGACCATTAAAGGTTTCAAGTAGTAGAGGTTCGTTATGTATAAGGATATGATCTGGAAGCATATATTTTTATCGATAGTGATATCACTACCAGTATCATATAAAACATGTATAGAAATAAGTTCATAAGTAGGAATACATAATTCTACCATGATATTGGTATGAAAGTCGGGCATTTCATTGTAGAGTATGGTGATCTATATGAACAATATCATGTGTAGCTAAATTTATATAGCTAATTTTTGCTCTGCCTGAATAGAGTATTATATAGGTCGTGAAAGGCTCCGTAGTCGTCATGGCTGACGATATCTTCAATAATTCTCTTCTGCATATGTGGCCAATAATTCAGCTGGTGGAGAATAAAGTTGGAGATAATTGAGTCGATGGAGAGTTATTGTGACGCGGTTGGATTATTTCTTGATAATTGTTTTATTTTACAGGTTGGGGAAGAATAAATGCTTGTACGAAAGATTCATTTCTGATAATTATTTTGCTTTACAGTTGTTTTCTTTACATCTCACTATTTCTATATTCAAATTTATCTCGTACTCCTTATAGAGTATCCGGCTTCTGGCAATACATGCATTTATGTATTTTTTTTCTTTTTCTAATTTCTGACAAAATAATTTCTTCACTTATTTGTTAGTTGCCACAACATTTTCACTGAGAATGGAAACCCATTTTTTTGGACATAACTTCACGTATCTTGTGTGTCGACTGCTTTATGAATAAGTGCTCCGAACAATGATAAACTCAAATATTGGTTGGATCTAGCTTATTAGTTTCATTTTATATTTAGTATAAATCATTTGTTTTGGATCTTTGGGATGATATTTCAGTCGGTTTGTATTTGAGAGTATATGGTTCGCTGCTAATTTCAAGTTGTATAAATGAGATAATTTCTTCCCGTATTTCGGGAGTTTGATATAATTTCATATATATTCCTGTGCATGACGACCATGTGGAATGTTTCCGCAACATAAATAACTAATTTTGGTACTTAATTTAGAAGATTTACATCTTCTAAAAAAATCATGCATACTAAGCCACATTTATATAATTCAAAGATAAGTTTAGAATATGTATTTTCATATATATAGATGACTTGGAATTTTCCAACCGTATGAAAATAAATCTAAGAATTAATTCTTTCCTCAAATAGAGATAATTGTTGTCATTTATCGGTTATTTCTATAATACTATTTGCAGAGTTAATTGATGTATTTTTGTAATACATTTGCTTATTAAGGTTATTTATTTGAAGTGGGTATTTTTTTTTATAATTTTGAAATCTATAAAATCTCGTAATTCAATAATTGAAGAAGTGGATGTTTTTTTTTGTAATTTTGAGATTTGCAAAATCTCGTATTTTTTGTAATTAGTAATTGAGGTTAATTTTTTTTCATGAATTTCTCATTTCAAACAGTTCTTCACTTTCAATAATTCTCTTAGAATGTTATTGTCATAGGCAATTTCACATTCTAAATTTTATATTTGTAATTTAAGTATTTCTACATAATTGTTCAAGTCAGGAAGGGACTCTTCGGCGGCATCGCCGGATATCTCTATATATTTAGTGTTTGTATTCATTTCTTGCATAATTCACGAGTTAAAGTGTCAGCAAGAGCATTTTTTTTTCCCTTAATATGTTTAATGTCAAAAGTATATGCAGAAAACTAACTTTACCATCTTATTAATCTTTTATTAGGAAAAAAATCCATAATTTTTTCTTTAATAAATGAAATAATTGTTTTATTATATGTTCTAATAAAAAATGTTTCATTAAAAAGATTTCAAAATTTTAATTGATTTTTTAATTGTTAATAACTCTTTCATTAATATGATAATTTTGTTATGTCGTTGTATACGTACCTGAGTTGTATCTACACAAGAGTTCGATAGCATTACGTCGAGCTTTTAAAATTGCTCCACATGCTAGTTCGGAGTTGTCATTTTCTATAATTAAATAATCACTAGATATATGTAAATATAATTTTGGTAGATTTTTATATATTCAACATGAAAAATACCCTCAGTTACTGTCTTACAAAAAATATGATATTTTGCAAATATGAAAATTACAAAAAAAGTATCCACTTTTTCAATTACTGAATTATAAGATTTTACAAATCTCAAAATTACAAAAAAAGTGCACACTTCTTCAAATAAAGTACCTTCATATGCAAATGTATTGTAAAATTCATCAATTAACTCTGCAAATAGTATTATAGAAATAGCCGATGAATGACAACAAAAATTAAATGAAAATTCATTTATGAAAGAGTGACAAGAAACACCGTCCCAAAACTCCATATTTCATAGTTAAAACTCCATTTTTTTGTTTTTCTAATAGACAAATGCTAAATAATTAAAAACCTTGAAGTGAAAAAGTAATTATAAATATTAGAAAAGATAAATGGCTGGATTTGCATCATACTTTAAGGGGAAAAAATTTACAAACAATATCAGAAGCTGACAATGAAAACTAATAAAGTGGGATGATAGTATATAACTTGCAGTTAAATCTATGCCTCATTTTGTTTCTTGTTGATGAAAACCGTGTGCTAGTTCCTCTACAAGATATGTAGATCTAAAAAATTCAGCATAAAATATATATATAGTTAAAAGGTGACAGTCAGTTCCGAATTCCAAATGCTAAAATCATGACAATTAGTGGCATGTAGGTTCCTTGGATGAGAACAGGTAGATATTCATGCCAAAGAACCCTTACAGAGACAGTGACAGGGATAAGCTTAGGTGATCTCAAGAAATAACAAGCAGCAGATCATATGAACCTTTACACAATTACAAGTTCAATAAGGTATCCTCAAGAATTTCAGTTCCCATGTATTTGAATGAATCAAACATAGATGAGAAAACTTTTAATAAATAAAAATCCTTCCAAAGTATATGTGATTCCTCAAATATAATTACTTCAATGAAGTGGATCAAAAATAATATCAAATTATGGTAGCCATGTTGAGAGAATTCTATGATATAGTGCATAACAAGTGGCTCCAAAAGGAGAGGCGATGTCATCAAACAGTTTTCATGACATTGAAAAGATCTAAAAGAAATGCAATCTAGAAAAGATTAACTAAAAGAATGATGAAAAAAATGCATAAATCCAGTTTCTCCTATGATTGGTAAAGAGAAAACTTTAAAACTATATAGTAAATTAGTAGTACCTGGAATGAATAGCCTGAATATGCTCCAGGAAACTGCTCAGCCATAATTTCCATGGCTGCAAAAAATGCAACAACCTACTCAAAAGAAGAAAAATGCTGTCAAAATCTCGTGGACACAAAGAAACGTGGAAAACAGAAAATTATTCTGTTGACTTTTAGAATTTTAAACCGACCAGATCCTCCATCTGTGCAGAAATTACTGTATAAACATTTGCAACAATTCCGTGTCTCCTCCTGTTGTGCCCATAACAAATGGCACGCCTAGTTTACAATAAAGTTTAGCATTTCCTGCAGCAATAAATAGATGTACTCAGACTGAATCACACCTAAGCAATGATGGATTATTTCTGCATTGCTCGAGAACATAAACACAACTGTGGAAACAATGTGCACCTATTGTGAACCAACCAATAAATAGAATTCCAACTAATTATTAAAGATTATTGATTCAATTGCCACTTATTCTATTTGACAGCAAATTTTACCTTAGTATTAGAGGTTCTCTTGATAAATGTATTAGTATTGTGTTTTGATTTTTCAAAACTACAACTCCAAACTTCTTAGAAGGGTGAAGATATTGCTCCAGTTGAATGTCTATTTGGAATGAATCCTCGAGATTGAAAGTACTTTGAGTCAACTTTATTGATAAATGTCTATCTACAACTTGAAACAAACTCTAGCATTGGTGATCCTAAGTAGGGCTATCAATTTGGCTCGTTGTTCGCAAACAGCTCGTGTTCGGCCAATTAAGTAGCTCGTTTTCGGCTCGTTCCTTCAACCTAACGAGATATAAATATACATAATACATATTCATAAAATTAAATATTATAAATTATAATTAATTAAAAGTTTTTAAAAAATAAATTATCATATTTTAAAAAATTTATTCTATAAATTATAATATATAAAAAAATATTAAAAATATGATATTACTATTACATATATAAATATTATATATTTATAGAATATAAGTTACATATTTAATATATATATATATATAACAATAAACTATATCACACAAAAAACCCTAACAGCGGCGGACTCCCATTCCCGTGACCCCGTCTCGAAAGTTCTGGGGTTCGGTTGCCTTTCCCCTGCTTCTCCTCTCAAAATCGCGAAAGGCTTTCTAGTGCGAGAGCTTAGAGTTCGTCGTTCATGTTCTTCTGCTAATATCTACTTCTATTTCTCCACGGATAATCAGCGTTGGCTCGATTGCTCGGTTTTCTTGCTTGGTTGCTCAATATTCTTGATTGGTTGCTTGTTTACTTACAGAGGTGTTATATTTGAGTATCTTTTCTCGATTGTTTCATATTTATCTTTGGATTCACCTCTTAGCTTAAATTTTCTTAAATCTCTTTTAGATTTACTTAGAGTTTTTGAGTGAAACCTAGTCTTTTAGGGTTTTGGCAGTGAAATCTCGCATGTTGCATTTATATCTGGTTTTTTATGGATGAGATCTGATATAAGGGTTGTTGAAAACTTAAAAAAATCTGATCTCTATTTTTCCTTCTCGGCAGTGTTGGCTCGATTGATTGGTATTCTTGCTTGGTTGCTCAATATTCATGGACGGCTGCTTGTTTGGATACCTGGGTATTATCTTTGAGTATCTTTTCTGTAATATTTCATATTTATCTTCATGTATGCCTCTTGTCCAGTTGTCCTAATGTTTCTTAAATTTCTTTTATTTGGAAGATTTACATACATACCCCTCACGGTTGGCTAGATTGATCGGTATTCTTGCTTGGTTGCTCGATATTCTTGCACGGTTGCTTGTTTGGATACTTAGGTGTGTTTTTTTAGTATCTTTTCTGAAATATTTCATATTTATATTCAGGTATGTCTCTTGAACTAATAATATTTCACCTTTTCTGTAATATTCTTGCACTAATCTCTACTTTTCCTTCTTGGATAGGCATTGTTGGCTGGATTGATCGGTATTCTTGCTTGGTTGCTCGATATTCTTGCACGGTTGCTTGTTTGGATACCTAGGTGTTATCTTTGAGTATATTTTCTGTAATATTTCATATTTATCTTTGGGTATGTCTCTTGAACCAAATATAAATCTCTCTCCTAACTCATCCTTTTTTTCATGCTAATAGTCCTTCAAGCAGAATTCATGGAGTATCTTTATGCTTTTAGAGTATGGTAGATCCTATAGCTTTTGGTGCATGTTGGACAAAAAAAAAATTTTGTATGTCTTTTGAATTCAATAACATCTGTTTTCCAAGTGTTATGCAAGTTGAATACTTGAGTTTATAAGCAATAAAATGAATGCTAAATTTTTGCTTAACAATTTTATGAATACTTGAGTTCAAGTTATGTAGATCAGTCTTGCTGGTGAGGAAATATGAGCATCAATTTTTCTAATGATCATGTTATTATGCATCTTTTGTAGTACCCTACACTATTTTACATCGAGTCAGATTTGAATGATTTTATTTGGTATGTGTCTTTTGCATGTTTTATTTGGTATGGTAAATTGGTAATGTTGCGAAGTCAATATATGGTTATGGTTGCATCTATGTATGCATGTATGAAGTAATGTTAATTCCGTAGTTTTGATTTCAGTTAGTGTGCAAGTGCAAATATGTTCGAATTAAATCTTTCACAATCAAATTTATCCAACAAACAGTTGCTACCAGAATCTGCATTTAGTACTGGTGGAAGAGTTCTAAATGATTATAGAAGTTCACTCTCGACAAAGACAGTGAGTACATTAATATGCTTGTCTAGTTGGATTAGATCTTTCACAAGTTGTTTGAAAACACCTATGGTAATTCTCTCAATAATTAGTTTTTATAGTATATGTCTTTTTCATCTTAAAACTGATATTGATATATTTTCCTACCAGCAAGAATTAATGGAAGAGGAACAACTTGAAGTGGTTTTACCCGAGTAAATTGAGGGGATGGAAAAAAATATGTGGTCTTGAATCATCTGTCTCATTGTTTGCTCCCTCATATTGTTACATTTTATGTCACTTGATTTGGTTTGAATGTATCAAATTGTCACATTTTGTGCTCCATATTATGCTTGTGTTTTGTGATGAGACAATAATTTCTTACTTTGATGATTATTCTTACCAACATATTATGCTTGTGTTTTGTCACTTAATTTGGTCTGAATTTTACTCTTAATGAAATGAAATGATGGCTTTGATGATTATTCTTACTCTTAATTTTGGAAGGCAACACAAGTTTGCAACTATTTTAAGCTAAGAATATGAAAACTTGCAACCATTTTAAATATTTTGGCCCTTGGGTATTTGCACATCTAACACTATCATCTTTAATCTATTTGTGGATGTATCATTTACTATTTTTAAGGGAGTTTGGTGCCCCATTTAAATGTTGGTTTACCCATCTTTTTTAGGCTTTTAAATTGTTGTATGGAGGTTTTTAAATTGTTGTATGGAGGCTCTTGAAATGTCTGTTTGAATGCAGTATGCAGACTTGCTACAGTTGATTCATGTAATGATTTGTTTTGTTGGATCAATGGTTCAGCTGGGCTTGTTTATGAGCATATCCTTGGGGAGGGTAAGAATTTTGATGCTACAATGCTACCTTTTTACAGTGATGCAGGTGGCAGGAACCAATAATGTTGTAAATCATAGACGAAAAATAATGTTGGCAATGTCATATTATTAGGTGCTACTATGAATTCTGCTGCTTGTTTATGAGCATGTCTTTGGGGATGCCTCTGTATTTGGAACTCTTGCATAGGAAGTGGAAAGATATCGCGGTGATGCAGGTTACGTATATTACCATTTTTTGCTTTCAATATCACAGGTTTTTGCTGTAACTTTGTGAAGGGCATACTGTTAGCTAAAAAAAGTATCAATTCTATATTAAAAGGGCAGCTAATAATTGGTTATAAGGAAGGTAAAATACAATACATCAATTATTTCTGAAGTTGGAGTTTAGTGTTGCATTTGTGGGTTTTGCTATAACTTTGTGTTTGATCTTCCCTAAAGTGGGTTGTAAGTGAAGCGCATACATGTTAGCCAAAAAAAGTAGAAGAAGAAAAAAGGATTTGGTCAAGTTGGGATTACAAGTACTTGGAGTTTATCTACTCATATTAGAATTGGTCAAGTTGGGATTACATGTACTTGGAGTTTATCTACTCATATTAGAAACTTTGGGGCTTCAAATTTTCTCTGTTTGCAATTTATTTATAACTTGCCTGCTGGAGCTTGATTGAGAAATTAGCATAAATAGATAAACATGTTGGAGATGCTGCAGGAAAGGTAGCATTTCGAACGAACGGGGGAGTATTTAGTTCTTGGCTTAAACGAACGGGGTAGTATTTAGTTCAAAGAACATTTTTTTTTTTTTAATTCTAGGATGTTGGAGATGTTGTTGCATTTATAACATGTATCAATGTTCTTTGAAAACCTGGAAGTTTGTTTCAGCGACATTCATTTAGTTTTATTTTGGTATTATTTCAATTCTTATGCTTCTCATTATTTGTCCGGACTATTTTCATGGTTGTTGTTTCTAAGCAGCCCAGTGTTATTTTTATGGATGAGGTATGTGTCATTTTTTCTTTTATATTTTTATTTTATATTTTTCTCTATTCCATGCTCACATTTCATGCTCATGATTGTATAGTTAAAACATAGATATTTATGGTGCTATGCATATTCTGGTTACTGTACTCTTTGTGAGCTTGGGAGTTCATGGATTAGATACAAGTTTGGTATTTTTCTTCACACTTTTTTCATATGTACTGATTGCTTCTATTATCAAGTTATCATGTTGCCTCAATTAGGTCGACCCTAAAATATGTAGAGGCTAAATTCAGGTTAGAAAAAAATATGAAAATTTCATGAAATATGAAGTGGCGCTGGAAATCATTTTTGTTAAGTTTAATTTTCATTTATGTTTGTTGGTAGGAAAATGAGATAGCTCTCCTCTTATGATTTCATTTGGCGTAATGCAATGATTAACAACAATAAATAAGTTGTATAAAAGTTCTACATCGAAGAAATTAAGATGGATACAATATACTTGAGCTCATATTGCTAGTCAGTTTGTAATTCTATTGTCATGAAAAAAAAGTGGTAAGCATCCACATACATGTGCTGGAAGTGTTTAATTAAATTGGCCTGTATTAAAACAGCTGCAAAATGTTTAGCGATAGCTTGTTATCCATCTAACAAGTGTTATTGATCTATTTATGTTTTTTTGGCTAACACTTTAGGGAAGATCAATCTGGTGCAGAGTTTCAGTTATGTCTGAGATCGATAGGATTGTGAGGCCAGCAGGCAAGGTGATAGTAAGGGATGA